ACCTAATAAAGTGGCCGGTGAGTGTATTTTTACATACATAGACCTACACTCATTGGCCACTTTATTAGGTCCACCTAGTTAGTACAAGACTGAACCCAACTCTGCCTTCAGAACTGCTTTAATTCTTCATGCCACAAATTCAACGAGATGCTGGAAACATTCCTCGGATATTTTCCTCCATATTTTCATGTTAGTATCAGGTCAACACATTCCACCACATTCCAAATGTGCTCAGCTGGACTGAGACCAAATCAAACTTTATTGAAGCTGGCTGACATTTCTCCAACAGAATGGATAAAAATACAGTAAATATCCTCAAAATTAAAAAAATAATAATAAAATAAAAACAATTCTTTAGACTTTTGTTGAGGTCCACTAATAATGAACCAAAAAGATTCCAGGTTGTCTTGTAAAATAATGAGGCTCACACCAAAGTTTAACATTCCACCATGTTAAAATTGTACAGTCTGTTTATCCTCATGATCTGTTTTTATCTGCTTTCAACTATTTCTGTTAATAGACCCCTGATAGCACAGCACAAGGTTCGTAAATACAACCTTTGACCACTTGTGAGGTGACTGTGATTGTTGCTCCTTTGAAATGTAACATTGCTTTACTGCTTTACTTGATAGTTTTGTTTATTTAAAATGGGGTTGAAAACATACCTGGCTATTTGGTGGAGCATTTGTTGTGATTAGTGCCATTGTGGTTCCGCCATCAGTGCTGAGGAAGCCTATGTGGGTTCAGGACTCCTGTAACTGTCCAGCAAACGCCTATGATCAACTCTTTATGGAGAACCCTTTTAGACATGAATGTGGTAAAGTAAACAACAAAATTATGTGGCTGGACTGGACTAATAATTTGGAATATATCTATTTATTAGCAGTGTAAAACACAAGTTTTACCATTGTGATGTTCTGGGCTTAGACGATGTTCTGGAGTGACACAAATGACCTTGTCCACAAGTTCACTCAGAAAAGGGATCATTTTATCACGCTGGAGGACACATTCTTGGGCAACATGGTCTTACATGGTGTGGAAAGAAAGGCAGCAAATATAAAGAACAAGAGCTGTGAGACAGATTACCCATAACATTTACAGAGAACAGGTGTGTAAAATATGTTCTTTGATTGCATCTTGGGTTATGTCATAGAAACATTCACCTATTTGTTTGAGACATGCACAATCAACCCTGTCTCTTCATTCTGGATCAAAGCATCTGCTGAAGTGAGTACATAAATATAATAA